CCGCGCGCAATCCATATTTTCGTCCGTCAGCTGCGCGCGAATGTGTTACTCTCTTAAAACATAACTGTACCCGCGGTGCAAAAGGGCGGCATTATAGATCCTTTTGCTCTTTTCCGATATACACGGTCACTCATAAATAATTTTATAACTATCGTGAGTTTTATCTTACATTACGCATTCTCTCGGCGTTTCAGGCCTGTTTTCTATCAATGTAGATTAACTTTAACTTGATTTAACTTACTTTCTGTCTTTTTCTAGTTTTAAGAATTAGAAGAGGATAAAAAGTAAATCGAGATTAAAGTTAATCTACATTGGTAGAAATGGACATCAAGCTGATCAAGCAGTTAAGTTTGCTGGGAGATCTTGCATAATCTTTTTCTAGATCTTTTTTTAATTAATGATTTCGGTAATTTCGCGAAAACTGAAAAAGTACGATTACATAATGGCTTGTGCGATAATAGAATCGTTGGCGCTGGCGCGTGTAGTAAAATCCTAACCCTTGGATCAACTCCTTATAGGTAAATACTTGTTTGTCACAAGTCGAGCCCCGTGTTTGTTTATTTAGGCATCGAGCGAGAGGGTGATAGGCTAGACTTCGACCTCTCTCTCTTTCTTTCTCTTTCTCTCTTTCCTCGTCTCTTTCTGAATTAGGTATCCTTTTCCTTTCGTCTCGACTCGAAAGATAGGCATTGTTGCGGGTGGTCCACGGTACATATTGTCAGAGCGGCTACCAGGTAGTGTGCAACGTTGCCGCTTGCAATGTTGCAAGCGCGGCTTTCCTTCTCTCCTCTCCTTCCCGTAAGGCTCTGACTCTCCTCTTGTACGATTACCCCTCTCCTTGTACCTTCTCTTTTCTTCTCTGTATTTTCTCTCTCTCTCTTTCTTTTTTCTCACAGTTTCGTTTAAGCAGCCTTAACCTCGCTCTAAAAGCCCGAACCGCCATCCTCACCCTCTTCCCCTCTCCCCCCTTCCTCTCCTTCTCTGTCTCACTCTCGCTTTTTCTCATTTCCACCGCTTGTCGTTCTACAAACCCACGCGTCGAATTTAAAGGCCCCGACGCATTTGCCTCCCCTGTCTCTTCCCTCCCTTCGTTCTCACTCTCGGCGATGAGTGCATTCACCGATTTTTCCCGGAAACCGGCTGCACTCGTTCTTATCCCGCGTAATGCCCGCGGAATTATTCTGGAATACAGGTCGCCCCAAAATTGGCGACTATTTCAGAGATTGAGCCGGTTCGAAAAAAAAGCTCTGTGATGGATCGACGATATTATTATATCAGTCTGCCCGAAAACGCGACACACGAAAGTGTCGAAAGTATGTTGTTAGTACGCGTGCACTCGGCGATCAAATTTCTCTACAATATTTTATCCTCCGGAGCTGAATCTGTAACAGTCGCTAGGTCTGTAAGACCCATTTAATTTATGTTTTAATTATAAGTGGGTAATAAGTGATTTTAAGGAATCAAAATAATATAATTCATAACTTAAAAAGAATGAATATTAGAATATTTTAATAAAAATCATTATTCATTTTAATAATGAAATTTGCAGATGTAACATAAATAAGATAATTGAATTATTTGACATTTTTAACAAAGATAATTGACTGGATCCAACAGAGCCACTGTCAGCGCTGGAGGGTTAAGAAATGTGCATTTTCGTTTACACAGTGTATATATAATTCTATCGGTTTGTTTCGCAAAGAGCAAGAAGAATCATTGAAAAATCGTACGTAGAGAAATCTCTCGAGTGAATGTGGAACAGAGTTAATTGTGCATCGCGGAATCATACATTTTTTTTTAACCATACATGCGGGTAATTATGCAATGATGTCATGAATCTTCGATCTTCTTTCTTTCCAGGGAAAGGCTGATGGTCAGAGATCAGCGGTGTGGTTCAGGGCGCGACTGCAAGATCAGCTGAGCCAGTTGGGCTACTTTCTGCAGAGGCATGCCGGAAAGGTGCTCTTCGTGGCCGTCCTCGCATTGGCGATCCTCTGCGTCGCTCTCAAGTCCGCGCAAGTCAACAGCAAGGTCGAGCAGCTGTGGGTGCAAGGTAAGTGATTGTCATGCATACTTTACATTCTTTTATTTCTTTTGTGGATGCAGTATTTTGTTCTTTTCTCGCCTTTATCGATGATTATATGATGTAATATATTTACTGTAAAAATACCATACGTTCCATTGTGAAGATAAAAGTCAAATGCAGGAAAAAGAAACATAGATATAGGAAGATAAAAACCTAGATGAAGAAATATACGCACGCGCGCGAAGAAATAAAGAGTATGAGTTTTTTTATTTTTTGTACAATGAAAAAATTTATTAAGATCTTAATACATATTTTTTTTAATAGTACTAAGTGAACATTTACTTGCAGTAAATAAATATTTACTTAATAAAAAAATGATAGTTAAATCAAACCAATCGTTTTCGTATCAAATAAATATATATTTATATTTAATAAATATTTACTTAGACCTATTTAAACAAATATTTATTAAAAATTAATTTTTTTAGTGTATATTTTTAAATTTATTGTGTTTTGAAATAAAAATCATTCATAATTTCTTCTAAATTACTATAACAAAAAACATTGAAATCCGCTTTATTTACTATCGCATTAAATTAAATTGGTTATGAAATTTCTCTAAAACGCGTTGTAAGATGTAACAGCAGAGGGAAATGAATCAGTATATATAATATGACACATATAATATGACAAAATCGTCGTAAAGGCATTGATTAAATTGTTCCCGAACAGAATCGATCTTTCGTATGGTAGAAGTGTGACGTAAATTTTCACACTGCGGCAAGTGGAAAACGGATAAAGCGAGCAAGAAACACGGATAAATCTCCGCGAGATGGAAAAAGGAGGATGCGCTCACTGCGCGGGCAAAAAGAGGGAAACGATTCGAGCGGAATCTTCTCCACCGTATAGGTTACATTAGTTGCACACACGTTGGGTGGCCGCTCTATATTTACCTCTAGTCTGAACGTTAATTCGAATACACGTTGCTAACTTGTACATATATATCGACGCGAGAACGAGAACGAGGAAAAGTCAAACGTTTCGGAGAGGCGAATGTTTTTACTTTTATTCCACGTTTGTATAACGAAGGCATAGTGCAGTTGTTAGCTGTATCACTAGAGCGTGAGTTCAATTCTTGTCAATTCATTAGACTGACCCAGGTTCATTAGACTGACAATGAAATCTGTCTGATAGAGTGTATTATCAACATTCTATATATTATATGTTTGCTCTCTCGTTGCTTGATTCTTTGTTGACAAATGTTGACAAACGAAAGATTATAGTATCGGTTTATTTGATATTCGTGAGATAACTTGCGTCGCGCGTTAGAGTTATCAGTCATACTTTTTTAACCCCTTCAGATCCTAGGTACATTGTAATGTAGGTATATTAAATTTGAAGATTTTATCTGATATCTATTGAAATTATTTAGTTCTATCGATATCATCTGAGGCCAGATATACGTAATAATTTACATAGAAAAATAGTCTAAAATAAAAAAAATAGTTTTTTAATATTATAATTAATTATTAATGTGCCCTTGAATTGAATTAAAGAATTTTTTAACATGTTTCGTTATAATCAAATCTGAAGGGATTAAAAATACATATACTCTTTGAGGTAAAACTTCCTATCATTAATTAAAATTTTATGTTTATGTAAAAGTATGTTAATAAGAATTATCAATATTCTAAAAATTTTCTTTTATTAAATATCTACATTTAACGCATAATAAATTATAACTCCTTCCGTTCCCGCGCGCGCGGAGCATAATCTTTTTTTTTTAATATACATACTCTTTTCTTATGATTTAGATATGGTACATAACTCTAGTCATGCGTCGTATTCAGTTGAAATATGCGATCATACAATGCAGATAAATAAAAATAGCAATAATGTGTAATTATGAATATAATTATTTATGTTACATTTTTTATTGAGGATTTATTTAATTTCCTGAAAATTATTTAATTTTAATTTCTCATGTAATATTATATCTGTAAATAAGATGATATGTCATATCAAGAAAAAGTTAAAATTTTGAATAATTATATTGCGCCATATAAGCTTCAAATATCATTAAAAATGTGGTATTATGCAGGTCATTATATCTATATATATTCTACTCTTAATATATATATATATATTAAAACTGATATTCCTCGATATTAGATACCTCTTGTATTTGGAATGAATACCTTCTGCAACGAATTTTGCGTTGCGTAGAGTGACGGAAGACGAGTCGACAGGGCGAACGGACATTCCGTTCGTTGGGGCTAGAGAGAAGTGCCTCGTCGATGTCACGGGTAACTGTATAGAGATTCTTTCGACGCGCTCGACTTAGCACGAAGAAACGGCGAGTCGTGTCCTGGTTTTCGATCGGATGGAAGATACAGCGGACCTCCTAGATCGCGTCGTCGGAGACTAATCCGTCCGAGCGAACCTTCCGTGACACTTGACCCCGTGAAACTTCACACCGAGGACAAGTGTTACTCTCGTTGATGTTTGTCTTCTCGGTAATAACGGTACGACGAATCGACGTAAATGGATTGATCGAGAATACGTACGAAATTCCGCGAAAACCGAACGTCTGCAGACAGGAATTTCCGTTGATAATTCCCGATAGCTTTCAATAATATTAGTGACATATTTATTATCTCTTTTGGATGGTTTTGCTTTCAAAATTTAAAAATTCACGCGTGCGAGTAAACTTTTGGACAAAACTGAGACGGTGTGCTGGAACAAGCAAGTCAAATATCATCAAAACTGATTTTCTTATACGGAAAGAATGATTTTGCTGAAGTATTTGAAAATTTAAGTACACTAAGAAAAATGTTCTGATTAAATAAAGATCCAATCGGAATATTTTCTCTCTCTCTATGTAGATATAAATCTGAAAATAATTTTGTTGGATCAAAATAATTACATAGGAAACTCAAGCAAATGTTGTAAAAATTACTTTTGACATTCTAGTAACCAGAGTTTGAGCCTATAATTATTTTAATCCAAAATTATTTTCAGATCTGTATTTAGCTTTAGATATTTCAGCACAATTTCGTCCTTTCGTGGTACAAGATGTAACAAGCTAATTAAAGGATCTTATTTTGAATGATAAAATTACGGATATCACGATTTAATATGTCGAAATTTTTCCGATGTGATTTCTCGGAAACGCTTCGCGTAAAACATTCGGAAACCATTCTTTTCACCTTTCACGACTGTTCAGCGATCGGTATGCGCCCGATCGGTTCCCGCAACTACGAAAGTCGCAACCCGATCGCCGTCGGCAGTCACGGCGATAAACCCGCCGCTGTTAAGGATTTATAAGGATCGTTAAAGGAGGCGCGGAACGTTGGATTTGCGATCTAGCTCGAGGCTCGCTTCGTCTTTCGTTCTTTTTTTTTGCACCATTGGACGATTGTGTGGCTTAAACGTTTATTGCCTTCGAGGAATTTATATTGTTATTAATATTGTATGACACGTGTTGTTATGCACTTCTGTTACGCGACTTGCGCGGAATTGCTCATTATGCAATTATTCATATAATACTATATTAAGTTTTAATCTATGTAATTTATTCGTTATTTATAAAAAAATCAGCCGTCTCAAAAATTAAAATACAATTTCTTTTAAGGGGATGCTGGAGCCGCCTGTATTACCCTGTATAAAACTAGCGTTTTTGATGTTTTTGTTCCTGTCGAATTTCTTCGTAATGGTTTCACAGAATAAAAAAAATTTCTTTTTCACGATTAAAATGTACACGCTAATGTATTTGTCGCTGGTGTATTTTGTGTTCAAAGCTAGAAAAAATAAAAAAATACAAATTTCTTTATTCATTTTATCTTCAGCGTTAGTCGCCATACTGAGATAAAAATGGATAAAGAAATCTGTAATTTTTTATTTTTTCCAGCTTTGAACACAAAATACACCAGCGACAAATACATTAGCACGTATATTTTAATCGTGGAAAAGGAATTTTTATTCTGTGAAACCATTACGAAGAAATTCGACAGGAACAACATTAAAAACGCTAGTTTTATCGGTAATACAGGCGGCTCCAGCATCCCCTTAACGTAATAAAATAAACAAACATTTCAAGGATACGTGTCGTGTTTGAATTGTGTCGAGAATATCGATTCCAGTTAGAAAAGCTGGGGCTTAATAAGTTTGTCACTTGAATTTGATGATTATTTTTTTTGTTTAAGAAGAAAGAAAGTAGGCGCGCTCTCTGAATTATATCTTAGTTTCACGAAGGGCCAGTCGTCGTCGTCCACCGGACGCGCACTCGTGTTTGATCGGCCCTTCTAAAAAGACTGCGCCCGCATATTCCGACCGAATACGACGCGCGACGCAAGTCACCTCACGGATATCCGGTACCGATACATGCGTGTCGTATACACACGCACATCTTTACGCACGTCGACCTGCCTCTGCTGGAGGTGTTATATCTCTTTACCGTCCTTCGACCTTCCCTGCCGTACGTCGGTGTCGCATAACTCTTCTTTTACTTTTCTGTCAGTATCTTTATCAATAAATAATCAAAACAACCGCCAGCACCACGTTGCGACGTGTTTGTATATACCAATTTTTTCTTAATATCGCAGATTACTCGGCGTTACTAAAGTAAAAATATTAATAATATGTATCACGGTAAAAATATTAATAATATTATTAAGGTAGGATTTATTAAACTCAGCTAATTTAAGTTTTAACCATAATAACATGAAATTTTAAGAATACTTGAAAAATTTAATTTGTTCGTCTTAAGTAACAGCTTAAGATGCTAATACGGTCTCTGATTGGTTCGTGACATCTTAAGAGTCTTCTTAAATCTAATATAAGAATCAATCATAAATACCAGCGGCTATAGAACCAGGTTGATATGCTAAATAATTCACTTTTTAATTTAATCTTCATCTTTTTCTAACTCTCACCCTTTTTAATTTAAAAAAAATTTTTTCTATCTTATATTTATTTTTTATCTCTTGTTTTCTTCTATCTTTCTAAATTTATTCTAAATCTTATCTATCTTTTTTTAATATATTTTTAGAAAGAGATAAAATTTTCTTATTCTTTGAAGAAGGTAAAAAGATGAACCGAGATAGTTAAAATCTTCTATCTTTG